GTTTTGCGGCTTTCTCTAATTTTGCATCTGTTATATCAATTTTATGACCTTCCTGCTGGTCATAAAAAGTATATTCATTAGTCGGTTTCGAGGTATTGCAAAGCCCATGCTTTTTCCCTGATCTTAGCTCCTTTTTAATGACAACAATTGCCGGCGGCATTGCCCTCTATATTTGAGCAATCTCCCTTGTATGTATTCTAAATTGGTGCACATTTTTTACATGCCTATGTGTACATTAATTACGCATCTGCTTCTTTTTGTGCTTTTTTTTCATTTTTGTATTCAGTATATTCAAAAGGTGGATTTTAAATAAGCCTACTTTTGTATTAACATATTATTCTGTTTATGTGCATATTGCTTTGAATCCATAATTAGTGTGAAACAAATGCATTTGCAGAAGGTGAATCAGCTTGTCTTACATTTCGTTGGTCTTTTTTAAAATCACATAATTTCCTGTACTGACAAAACTCTTTTGTCCATAGACTTTGTGTTCTTTGAAGAATCAGCATCGGCGCCATATCAGATACGGAAAATCGAAGAACTCAATAAGGTTACCGCGAATGAGGTAGATGTCAAAGTAAAGTGCTTCTATCGTCGTCGTGACTTACCCTCACATCTGAACGAGACGCATCCCCGTAATTAATTTTAACTCATTTTTAACTCTCCAGAAGATCTTTTAGTCGAAGGGCTTTCTAAGGCTCAGCTGCACCAGCTAAGTCATCGTGAGTTGTTTATTTCTCGGCACGTCGAGATTCTTCCTGCTACGCATATTCGCGGAAAGTGTAATGTCACTATGCGAGATGAACTCTCAGAAGAAAGTTTACAGTCACTGTTGGACAAGGAAGATACCTTCTTTTTCCAACTTGTTTACGACCCAACTAAGAAAACTCTCCAGGCAGACAAGGGGTCTATTCGAGTTGGAAGTGACTTTCAAGCGACGGTTCCCGATCGAATTGGTAATTTGATGTATTATTATCTTTTTCTACCACTACTTTAACAGACTCGCGTTTCCTAAATTGAAACCACCTTCTCTTATCTGATTCCCAATAAATAATTGAGGAGCGTATTTCTCAGTATTGTCACCACAAGATAATCATATATCAGGTTAGCTCGCTCGATTTCATAAGTCTTATTTTACTTGCCTTCGTTGTCCTAATGTTCAGTCTAAGTTATCGCCGCGTTTTATGTGCGGTCTGTTTGTGCAGTCTACCAGGATTTTATGAATCAGTTTTTCTCAAAACATTTCATACACAAAGCTGTAGTGGTGGCTGCTCAGTCATTGCTGTCGTTCTTGTTGTTCATTTTGAACTCCAGTGGACACATCAATGCTTAATATATGGGTCATCTACGCATAAGATTTTCATAACTAGTGCCTCAAATTGATTGACTTGATGCATTATCCCAGCTTTAATGTACGAATCCATTTATTGTGCAATTCTGTATTTCTTCCATTTCCCCCAAACGTAGAACCTTATCGGGTCGATACAAATCACAGGACACGTGAAACAGAGACTCTTGTTTGGTCTCCACCACCGCCTTCCACATTGTCCCCCACTGAGATTGACGCCTATGTGACCATGTGCAAGTCGCTTGCAACTTTGGCTCGCGCTTACTATCCGCCCGCGAGTTTACGACAACCGAGCCTAGTAGCGTCTGCTGCATGTGCTTCACGAGGCACCACTCTCCAGCTTGCATTAGACACCCTGCACGAAGCTGGGTATTCTATTTCAAAGGCACTTCAGATTCTGGCACCCCCCCATCAGGGTCCAGTTCTTCGGTTAGATGAAATGGAGGAGTGGTCAATTGCAGAGGGGAACTTATTTCAGGAAGGCCTGCAGAAATTTGGAAAGTGCTTTCATGACATCCAAACCGACATTCTCCCATGGAAGTCCACCAAGGTATATTATTCCTAATTTTTTCCTTGTTTTTTTTTGTGGAATTAGTCTCAAGAATTTTTAAGTCTTTATTATGTACAAAACTCGTACTTTTATCGTTTTAATTTAGCATTGTGGCACTAAATCGTAAAGCGATTTAGCGTCTTTATGTAATGCCTCATAAATCCTTCGTAATATAAATCGCTTTAGTAATTGTCCAACGTGGATTTACAGTTAACGGTTTTTGTCAGAACCACAGGCTTGGCCTCCGCGTCTATTCACAGACGTGGCAGTCTGACACTTCGATACCCAGTGATAACGCCTTGTATTTGATCGAAGCGCGCTCAACTCCGATTTGCGCTCTTATCGCTGGCTTCGAGCAGAGATCACAGAGACTCGATTGGAATATGCCTGGTTAAAAGCATTTAAGCGTGATTAATTGTGACTGTTTTGCGCCCTGTGGTTAGTGGCGAAAACGTTTTATTCAAGTGACACTTACAGGAAGGCGCTGTTGACTCGAAAATTTCACCATTTCACAAATAATTGAATTTGAAAAAGGAGACTTTGATTCAAAGTCAAGGTTAGATTGTGTAGGTGTCAACTATTGCTTCCTTCAAACTCCTTTTGAGTGCAAGATAGGGTCACTCTGGTTTCAGTCATGAGGTTACTTATCATAACCGAGCCTTTTGGTTAATTTTCCCAGAGCCTCGTTGCTTTCTACTACATGTGGAAAACGACGGATCACTACTTCCAGCAGAAGCGAGCTAAAGCTATGGGAGATGCTGAGCACAAACTGAAGCAGATATACATTGGCAACTACAATAAACCAAATCAATCAGTCCTCTACCCCGCTAACCGACCCGACTCGCCCCCTGCCTGTGAGGGATGCGACTCCACCTCCACACCCACCCAGTGGTACGCTTTGGGTGTTGCGCCTGCCATTCTGAAGGTCTGTGCCGATTGTTGGTCCTATTGGAAACGGTACGGCGACCTCAAACACACCTCAGTGGCTGGTGAGCGCCAGAATGTTTTTTCCGTGTTTAACTTGCTTTCTGATTACTCTAAACATGCGGCCCAGCTATTACATTTAGACTCCAGGAACACTAACATGCAATAAATAGTTTTGTTATCACAGTCTGTGCCCTTTTCCCACGCCATTTAATCATGCACTGCGTGTTAAAAGGCAGTCGAGCAGCTTCAAATTTAGCATCAGGCTTAACTTAATGCCCCGAAATCAAATCAAAGATTTTATTTGCGATTGAAGTGGAAATGGCGTACTTTCGTACCAAAAAGTGCTCTACAGGTTCTGGTCCCATGTGTCGTCCTAAAATTACGTGATTTAGTCCATGGCTCAAGCTAAACTAGCTGATCCCGATCTTAATTGTGTGATTCCACTGGGTACATTGAGTACCTTGGGCGGTGGCAGTTGACTCGGTAGTACTTCACCTGGTTTCGTCCTGCACACCAGAAGGTTCTATGGGGGGCGTCGATGGATATTTCATCTCGAGACCTGAGCGAAGCCTGCTTTTTATTACCACTTAACCGTTCAGGCTTCGAACGAACGTGTTGGCTACATACCGTTAGAAATATATATGTTGAGAAAATTTCGAGACATCCTCACTGGAATTTCGTGTTGGCTGGAAACTTGGGACAACACTTTTATCCTTCGTGCTGTTATTGGAAGATCCATTTGCGCAGTCTCCGGCCGCTTTGAGAGGGTACCTTGACAAACACCAGGCGCTGACTGCATGCGAGAGCTGTGTGCCAGTCGTTGGTCAAAATGACGACAATAGTAGTGCTCGCTTTTTAGCCCCCTTTCCTGACGCGAAAATTGGTAGACCGTCAACCTGACCGAAATGCTCTGTGGGGCGATATTGCCCAAATCGCGGATCTTGTGGGTATGCTAAATTTGTGGCCGAAGTTGGAAAGCACAAGCATTAACTCTGGCATTCGCGCTCTGTAGGTAATACGTCAGAGCTATGCGCTGATTTGAATTGGCATAAAACAGCTTCACACTCAACGGCCTGGGTTCAGGGCCTCCTTTTCCGAATATTATGCCTGTCAAGGACTGATTGCTTTCAAGAAGGCATAGTGAGTGAAAGTCCTTTGGTGCCAACACCTGTTTTATTGTGTGGATGTTTTTGGAATCGTCTAGGTGGCCAGATGCGTTGATGATTGACGTAAGGTGGATTTAGCGGTTCCCCAGACGGGGCCGAAACCCGTACTCTTGAGCCTACTGGAGAATTGCGTCTATTTGTTTGTGCAAGTCATGTGGCTTGTCTAATTATGCTGACACTGCTAGAATGCCAGTCAAAGTGATATCCTTCTGTCAGACGTTAACTTGAGTCGTGTTGATTCGGAAAGGAAGACGGCTGTATTAAAGCAGGTCGTGGTGGGCATTGATAGTTGATGGTGAGCGGGACTCGAAAGCCACTTCTATGTGGTGACGAGCGTCGGCTAGTTCAAGGGAAGCAAAGCATACGATGCCAGTTATTTTGGACGGAAGACCGGATTACGTGACTGAGTGACCTTAGCCAAACACCAGGTGATTCACAAGGTGTGCCGATAGATTGCTTTTAGACGGCATCTCGACTAACACAGTCCTCTGACGTAATTTAGACCTAGGATTTGACGAGGTACGGAAATATGTTTGTATTTCGCCACGAAGTCGGGGTTCGTCGCCACAGACCTGTGACACTGGCATGAAGATTAAACTGGAGACCGACGAAGTGAGGGAGATGACTGAAGCTGCGTCCCACTACAGTCACACCAGACAACCATCGATCCGAACGTGATGGACTTTTGTCGCTCCAGCATATTGTCCACGACTATCTCCAGTAATTCGAGGGTGATGCGAACTGGGCTGACTGCCTTGGACCTCGGCTCGTCATTGAATCGGAAGTGCTGCTGCTTATTGATGTTTGGCAGGTGCGTCTGGCAGCACTTGGTTTTGCGGCGTCGAACTGCTGATTGACCGGCTATTGAAACTCGCTCGTGGTGACATTGGGCGTCAGCAAGGGGTTCATGGTTGACGTCTCGTACATGTTTTTAAGAAGTAGTTGTGCTGTATTGTAGGGCGAAAAAAGACATGCGCTTCTCGAGCACTGTCGTCAAATGCACGATGCGGATTTATTAGGAGGAGAAGGTGGTTGTAGTACCCGTACAGCTCCTCTGGTCGGAGTTTACAAAACAGGAACCGTAAGCTGAATCAGCTATGCTGTTCTCGATTCTATTGAATCAGCTTTGCTATTCCCGATGCTGTTAACGCGGGTGCTGAATCATTCCGATGCGCGAGCTTCTCCGTCAGTTGCTTGAATAGCTGATCCAATCCTTTCTGTTAATTGTTACGTTATAACAATAGTCAAAACACGTCCCAAAGCAGAAGAGGACACTGTGATGAGGACTCGATGTTTATATCGCCGCCAACCAAGAAGGAATAAACTAGTGTAGAACTGAAGTCAGATTTGTAGACCTCATAACTGCTCACTTATAGGTTGTCAGAACGCCCTTGAACTGTTGTGACAAAATATCATGTAAGGCAAAACTGGTGAGTATCTCAATAGTGAATTGGCGGTTATTTTAGAAAGAACATTGACTTTTGGGAAAGGCTTAATGTGCAACATTTATTCCTGTCCAGTTATTTCGTATTCGCTCCTGAAAACCATTGCTGGAACTTTTTTGCGCCCCCATTTTCACAGGCCTTAACTCTGTCACGATGTCTTCCAATTCCAATGTACTGAATACCCCTTTTGTGCCCTAAACTGTTGGCTGCGAAGTGAATCGGTTTGAGCTCGTTCTACCACCACCAATACTACTTTACGAGCGTTAATATAATAATTGGTACTTGCATGTGCGTTTGGTTAGTAATGACGAGATGATTCGTTAAAGGTGAATGGAATTGCTCTAAACCCAACGTAACTCATGTCCACTGCTTGTGGTCAAACCCTGTGGGCTTTTTTACTTTAGAAAAATTGGGTTCCCTTACCTTGGTCTACAAGTGCCCGATGCAGACGTGTGACGAAGAATTCGAGGAAAAACCCGAGTTGGCCCTTCATTTGGACGCGAAACATCCCCAGTATGGTAGTGCCTGTGCCAGCCAGGTCCACCCTACGCCCTCCACTCGCGTGTCCTCCTTAATGCTGAAAAATGCCGCCGTCAGTCGAAGTAATTTCTACTTCCTCGCCCTCCCGACCCTGCGCTTTGCACGGCGTCTGGAGCAGACCCTGACGCGCAAACGCGGTCGTAGACCTTTTAAGGCGATTGTGACCGAGGCGGGGTTAAGGGAGCGGGTGGTGTCTCGCCTGTCCGCTCACCCCGCCCTCGTCCAACGCCTTGCCTCCGTCGTCTATAAGGGGGAGAAGGCGAGGCAGCCGAACCTTGATCCTGCCAGGCGACTGCTCGCCTTTACTAGCAAATTGGGTGGCGAAGACGAAACTGATTCTGCCCCCAGGTTGGTTGGACGACGCACTGGTTCAGCAAATCTGCCAGCTTGCAACTATTTTTATGCTCTTTTTCTTTATTTCAGCCAAATCGGTACTTCGCACAATTCCTCGAAACCCTTCTTTGAAAACCCAGCGCCTACCAAAGGGCCTTGTGGTAACTGCACTTGATTTCTGGCTCTGTGATTCTATTATCGCCACGCATCTCATTTACTCGTGGTGATATTTTATCAGCCAGTTTATTTTACAATGGCTCCATAACGCAGCTGTGAATTTAATTGCTCATTTAACCCCGTAGTAACCGATTCCTCGTAATTAGATTCGTCTTCAAGCATTGCATTCGTGGTGGGAATGCCTTCGAAGTGCAAGGTGGCGATAGTTGTGAGCCTAAGTGCGTGGAGGTCACAGTTTCGTCATAGGGTCTTACTCACCCACAAAGATCCCAATTAACTCGAATCCGCCAGGAAACGAATGATGCACACCTCAACAGCCGAGGAGGCACAACAGTTCTGGCGGACCCCAGTGGCCCTCGTGCCTGCCTGCCCACATGTGTGTCGTGCCATATCCCTTGAAATATCGGAGGGCAGTTGCCCTGCTGTGTGTGCTGTCTTGCGGCAATAACAACATGAAAAAGTGTGTTTGTGCGTGGGTGCACGGAATTGCGTTTCGAAACCTTGACATCAGCGAGTTATGTGGGGCATTTTTGTGCAAGTTAGCACCATGATCTGTGGTTAGGGGATTCGATGGACAAAAGTTACGCCTAACTCCGCTGTTTAGCGACACGCATGTTACTGACGGCGCTGGACGCATTGCTCTAGCCTAATTAACAAATGGCAAAGAATCAAGGTGATTTGACCATCATTTGTGCCATTTACCTGGCTGTCGTTCTGTTTCTTTGCACCCTTCACCTGTCTCACTTTAAGCTATTCACTTATGTGGTTTGCGTCGATCATGTTGTAGCCCGTCGGCGATGTTCTGTCATATGTACATGTTTAATTTTAGGCTATTCCAAGTCATTTTCTGAAAAGGATGTTGGCTTTTCTCCCACATTAGCAGATGGAGCCAGTGATAGCAATTCCCTCCCCCCTCTCTCCGTTTCCAGCATCGTGGCCTCGCCTGCGAACCCCAGTGCTGAAACCCTCATGTTCCACGCAGCCAAAACTCTAAAGTACACTTCTACTTTTAAATTGTAAGTAGTTAAAATTTAGGATTGTTCACAGATATTTTAAATCCTTGTAGAAAAAAGCGGCGAGAAGTAATTCCCTCCAAAACTTTACACCGGCTTTGTCGCCGCCCTTGCTCATCCGAAGCCCTTACCAATGATCTGCATCCAAAGTCAAAAGGAAACAATCCGCATCAGCAACAGTGAAGTTGAGCCTTTTCTTTGAGATCCCCGTCAGCTCCGTAAACGGCATTTGTATATTCCAGTTGTTGATTAGTACTCTCGTGTTCTTGTGACAGCCAGCTTGTCACGCATAAACTATCTACTTCTCACTTTATCCTGTGTGTACCTGTGTCTTTTTTTATCCGCAATGAAACATTTAGTGCAGTTATTTTCAGTGGCAATCGTTGGATTACTACAATGAATACAAAATTTGACGTGATCTGATAACCACGGTGTATAACTTGTCTGCCAAATCCTTAAAGCAACGTCCCGGGTTACTTTGGTATTTTGCAAGTGTTTTTATCAATAACATTGCATATTAATTGTGATTAGTTGTGCTTTTGGCTACTGGGAATAATAAACGCGCTCTTGCCAGATTCCGCGACGGACGAGGGTGGAGTGATTGACCGACTCCCAAATGACGCAGCGTAGAGGTACGGAAGGCAGGTCAGAGTAGAGGCCACTTGCAGTGGATTTAAGCACCGAATTTGTATTTTTTTAATGCCAAGTGTACCAGCACAAACCACCGGATTCGGTTTCCGCGTAGTCACCTTGACAAGTGACGCGCAAGTTATTGTGTTAGAAAGTGTTGCCCCCTTTGGAAATCGGCCCACGTTTGGTTCGGGTGGGCGCTTTTGGGTTTGATGTCACAAACAGGGAAGTTCGTGCATTTGCGGACTAGAACAGCGTGTCAAGTGTGCTGTTTGAGTTGCCCATCTTGTAAACGCTGTAGAAGGACTCAAGTATCAATTTACCGCAGTTCTCTGCCGCGCCCCATCTAAAGCGAAGGTCGTCGTGCTGGCACACTGGGACTGTGACGAGGTGCCCTCTCACAAACCCTGGATTTGGTCATGATGGGTCCGGCGATCCCTCTGCAGCACGCAGGCTGTGGCCTTCACTTTGGGTGATCAGAGAAGCAGGGTATTTCCAGTGTGCTGCCTCTGGCCACTGAAGGGTCACAACGCGCAATGCGAGGTTATTGTTAAATTCCAAACAAATTTTGGTGCTAAATTCAGTCACTTAAGCTCACAGACAAGCCGGTTTTGATAGAGCACTGCGAATGGATTCGAAGCCCTGAAGACGAGAAGTCAAACGACAAAACCTTTTTGCGTCTGCTAGTTGCAACCACATTGACACCACGCGCCTCACTCTATCTTGCAGTCGCGTTGATTTCGTGAGTTTTGACTCAGAGGCGACGCGACCATGCCTGTGACCACTGTAACTGCGCTTCCTGTGTCATCTGCAACCTTGTCACCCACATAACTTCCAGCATGGAGTTGACATTAAACGCCAAGTTGTGAATCCAGACAGGCCAAACGTAGGGGCCGTCCCAAGTCATCGCGGCTACTCACCGCCCTTGCTTATTAAGCGTTTGCTTTTGTCAACAAGCACATCTTGACCGACAATCCACGCACATTCATGCATTATGGAAGAACTGCATCAGAAACAGGCAGTAAAACCAAAGAAACTGTTCTTGAAACTACTACGTCTTAGCTAAGCTAGTGAACGCGTTCATTCTTTCATGTCGGTAATATTGAAAGAATAACTCTACGGGACTCGAAGCTGTTCACTCATGGCTTTATTCAGTGTGCGTGTACGTTGTGTGTCAGGAGGCCAATATTCAGCTGTGCCTTCTGCCAAATTTGCATCAAAGAATAGATAAACGAACGGTAAGTGGAATAACCGAGGTTTCGAATGAAAAAAATGTGTAAATGAGTCTTCACTGTGAAAAGACATTCGTGTTAATGTCGACCGCCCTCCCTTCCCCCACACAAGCAAAGTTCTACTGGTTTGATTTGGGATTTGGCTGCTTAAGGTAACGCGTTATTACAAACTGAGTGTGTATTTTGCTTTGGTGTCCTGTGGCATGCCTTAGTGAAATATCGAAACAATTTTCCCCACAATGATAGCGCATTTAGAGATTGTGTGAGGACGGCCAAAGTACATATTTTGACCTTTCCCAACCGATGTCCTTGAAAATGCCCGTTCCTTCCTCGACAAACCCTTTAGGCCTCGAAACAGGCTCCAGCCGCGACTTGTTTGCGAGGTGCAAAAATATTCGCGCGTAGCACATGATGTCACCATGGATTCCCATGTTTGACTTTGGCAGCCAAATTGGCGCTACAATTAATATGCAATTGCAGGAGCCCAATGTTCACTTTCTCAATGACTTGAGTACTCAAAGACCTTTCACCGTGAACGTTTTACGTTAAACCTAGTTTGCGCACAATTCCACCTGGCTGAACCATTTTATTGCCGCAACCAATAATATCATGGCAAGATTGATCTTTGAAATATCTACGGTGCCTAGTATCTCCACATCAAGCGAATTTGTAGACAACTTTATAATTCCATTTCAATTAAAGTGTGACTTTGTTTTGCCTGCATAGACGTAATTTAAAATGAAAGTACTATGTATGTGAACTTTATCTGATCGTGTCTTGATCCCTAGAGGGAGTTTTGAGTCATAACCTTATTGCATTATGACCAAGTGGAAAGTATCAAAGTACACGCCATTTCGGCAGTATCGTTTGCTTAGTCGAGATTATAACCTGACGGGACTGCTTGGAACAAATTTCAGGCTATATGAGTGCACAATTTTCACTAGTAGCCTGCAAAGATCAGTTTGTGAATGATGTGAAATCACAAAATTCCTTTCAATGCTTGGCTTGTGTCCAACAGGAATTAATGTACTCAAAAGGTGCGGCCTTGACCCACCCTCAAACAGTACCGAGGCTCATGTGGTGGTTCTTAGTCCCTATTGGCTATTTCGCCAGCGCTTGACTCAGTTGTCGACTTTGGCTGACTGGTGATTGGTTGGATGGCTAGCAAGATTACTTGGACACGCTCAGGAATGAAATTGCTACGCGCGCTTTTAGTTAACATCGGGAATATCTCTCCACGTACGAGCTTTATTCACCTCACATGATGCAATTAAGATTGTAGAATTTAATTGTAAGTTGTTTCGATAATTCTGTATCCCACCTGTAAAAAACCTAACACCTACGGTGTTTTCGCCACTCTTTAATTCCGCGTTTTCCAGCCGATAAAATTTGGTTACTCATGTCATATTAACCTCAAATTCCAAAGGCTGATCCACTAACAGGCGTACAAGGTCTAGGAAACACAGAAACTGCCAATGTGCGGCGCAGGGAATGTGCACTAATCGATGAGGTTGTTTCAGCGTTGCAGAAAACGACCTGTCGTGACTTAACTCGGCATCAACCTCTCATTAGCAGAAAGCGCATTCGGCATCCAAATTAACAGTTTTAATTTCACCTGCATGGAGCGGATAATTGGAGTCCCACGTCTTTGATGCACTTATCACTTAATTGTTTACACTCTTCACATTATTATTCTGAAGCCATAATAACAGTCGTGTGTGGGTGCCAAGACTTTCAAATGAATCAGCTGACCAATGTCTCCGTGCATAAATATTACCTAGCATTTATTTATTGTTTTCTGAACAGTTTTTTCCCGTACTTAAATACATTTGTGATAAACAACAATTATGAAAGTTTTAACAAGACTACAGTCTTCAAAGCCATAACCTCAATTGTGTTACAATTCAATTTTGTTGGTTTAACAACGGCGCTTATTTACAAATGAGTAGTTGTATTCGCAGCTATCAAGTTAATGGTTTTAACTCCTAATGGTTTTTTACACATTCCAATTCTTCTTAACCTGGCTTCGAGTTCTTTATTCCACTTTTTAGTCTACGCTATGATTTTTTTAAGATTATCACTGCATTGCAGATTCTAGTGTAAGTTGATTATGCAATACATTTTTATGTTACTGAAATTCAAACACTGCAATCTGAGTTTCCATGAGTGAGAAAGCCAACGTAAATGTCAGTGATATCGTCTCCCTTATTTTGTCAAGGATTGAGCGATTCTACAATTTGTAAGAAAACCGCATCCATTTGCAGAAAACGGTCCTAAATTAGTCACTGTTATATATCCCTTTAATGCCTGATCACTTTTGTTCAAATGTTTGTGACATTGGTTTGAGTAATTTATGGTGGAGGTTTAATTTTTCGCTATAACTTGGCTAAATTTAGAACAGTAGTGTTAGAAACTTATTGCTATGCGTATTATTAAACCGGATGATATCGTAGCACATAACGTTATGCAATAGGTTATGTTATTTCATATTACCATCCTGTTCCTCGTCAATAATAAATGAAGTTAGTGGAATGCGTGTGTCTCACCGCACTTTCGTGACTGCGAGTAGCGGGAAAACGCCGTTCATTGCCATTTTGAAGTTTTACTGTCACTTTCAGGCATTGTTTATCTCTACAACTGGCATCGGACCTGGAGAGAATAGTTCAGCCTTGCAATTTAAACTGGGATAAACGGGAAGCTTTACCGAACTTACGTATCTCAACCATAAAATTTGTGCGTTCAGCTATCAGAGTATTGCATAAATTCGAAAACATTTGAATACCTGGTTATTGTGATATTAAATATTACTTTCTGTTTACCTTCATGTTGCTTTTAACTAACTACGCGCTAGAAAATTGTCACCTGACACACACACACACACAAGCACTCGCACTTTTAGAGTACAACGCCTGGAACGATTTCAGACAAAAAGACACCCACGAAGTAATGGTCGAAGTCAAGTGGATTTTGGTGATTTTCTAAATTTAGCGGTGCAGGATTTCTTCGAACGTCTAGACTTCTTCAGTCAGCCCTGTTACAAACAGATTTTAGCGGGTCTTAGGCACGCTGACGAGGGATTCGCCCGAAACACCAGACTGGCGCAATGTCTCCGGGTGGGCCTCGGTTTCTGGGGCAAACCGATGGCAACGCGTAGGCCAGTGCACGAGTACAGAACTGGCAAGGGTGTGAGTGCGGCTTGGTGGGCAGGGTTTGCGAGTGGCTCATGCTCAAATCAGGCCTCTTTTCCCCCTTTCTTATTTATTTGTCATGCCGTAAAAAAACAATCCTTAAATATGTATTTATGATTTGCGAGAAAAGTTTGTTCAACAGTAATTTTCTCATTTATAATACGTAATGCATGTGGGCCTTAAATTTTGCTTTTGGTTTCCGCGAAAGCCGAGGTCTGTGCGGAAGAATCTCGCCAGCCTTGTACCTTGGGCAGATTCCTCATAAAGATCCGTTTGTAGCGAATTTGATGATCCTCTCTCCATGAAGAGCAAGTATCTTTACTAATAAGGTGATACACAAGGCGTTGTGTGGTCCTAACCTAGTTTTCAAACGATAATACTTGAGCATCCTGACATGATTGGATTTCTTGCGTTTTCCACTCTTCAGTTTAAATCATTCACTACATGACGTCGAGATTCGAGAAAAATTGACTGCATTCGAATGTTACAATGAAAATTATGATGAATAACATGGATATGAGAACCTGGTGTACATAATTTGGCATCGTCTTTTCAATTTTTTGCCTCCGGAATTGCCTCGCTTTCTGTCGGGAAATGTAGACGGTGATATTCGGTATAGAAGTTATGGCTGCATAAGTATAGCATTAGGATTGTGTCTGATGACATAAATAAACCAGAAATTGGCTGTACTAATTCGTGATTCTGACCACATACTTTGAATCACTACCAAGCACTGATGATCAAAGAAACTTGGAATCAAGTCAAAAACCTTGAATAAACTGCTTAACATTAATTTTGGCTTAGTTGTGACTTAGTGAACAATTAAAACCAACACTCTGAGCTTTCATTTGCACATTTCATGCTCTCCGGCGTGACCTCCCATTGCTGAGTTGGATATCAGTCTCGTTACCGTGGTGTAATGTCTTGATGTAAGTAATTACTGCCTAGGCTAGAGTCGGGTATGATGTCCTGTTATGCAAAAAATTCATGAAATTTTTAAACAATTTACTTTAATTTTTCTAAAGTCACTTGCCTGCTTTTGCTTAAGCTTACACAGCCACGTCTTACACGCGTGCCGGGTATAGAAAAGACTATATTCTGACTCAATCCCTCAAGTTTCTTAGAAAGCTCCTAGAGCAGCAAATTAGGCAATGAAATTTATACTATTCAATAATTAAATTTACAAAATATCATTGAAACCTAGTACTTTTTCCTATTGCCTGAATGCCCATATTTTGGGACAAATTTTCCGAAATTGAACTAAATGGAGTTACATTTAAGGTGAACAATAGAGGTTGTCAAAATCCGGTTAACTGTAACCAAGTTTTTTTCTGGCTTATTCTGGGAGTGACAAGCTTCTTTAAGTGATACAGGCTGTAGGACTGTGTATGTGGATCCCCAAAAAGTAGCAGTAGGTTTTGCAACTATTTACTATTTTTATTTGCCGGATTTCAGCTTATTTTAAGATGATTTTTTGCAATTTAATTTCGGAGTAGAGAGTTTCTTGCCGGCTTCAAGGGCTTCCTTAGAATTTCATCCTCCTCTTCCTCTTCAAAAGTACTACTCTTTGATAGTTAGTTTTAACTTTGGTGTGAGGAAGTTCATAAAATTGACTTCGTTTGCGCTGTTTCCTGCGACAGCTCCCCAGTGCCTTTATGCCCTTGTGTCTCTGTCCATGAGAGCTTCGAAGACTTCTTGCAACGGTCTCAATGCTTAGATTAAGTAAATAATTTGACCAAGAATTTGACTACAATTATTCACACATTTCTTGGGTCCTTGAAGCCTACGTTTATTAAAACTACTTGACCATTCATTACCCAAGATATGTTGTCACTTTCATAAGTTTTGGTGGAAGTCGGAGTTCTTCAGATTTGGCCAAAACACTTAAATTTTATTGTGTACGTTTTTCGTGTGATCACAGCCCTATTCGAGGGAACCTCCAGCTCTTGAATTCTAATCATATGCTTGTCTATAAAAATTGCATTAAATTCCAAGCCTCTTGAACTTTCGAGTTCATTGGTCAGCTATTTAAAGAAATTAGCCTTTTATAGCCTAATATGTAACCATCATGAAAACGATTCGATTGAGCCTTAGTAAACGTATTTGGAGTCAACCGTGATGGATACGGCTTTCTTATCATTTTCCAAAAAAATAACAAAAAAGAGTTCTTCCTACGACAACCTTGTGATCGACAACAGTGTAACTACAAAATTTGTTCATTTTATAAGAGAAATATATATTTTTAAAGAGTTGGAACGGTTTTAAACTTTTAGAAACTCGAATGCGGAAAAAAGTCCCACTTTCGCCACCAGTCTGTACTGGTGGGGTTTTCGAATATGCGGCCTCTTACGTTGAAGGTTTGAACTGGCGAAGAATATCCACCTCGTGCTCCTTATCTGAAACTGACCAGATTTCCCTTCTGTGCGTCCTCTTCATAGGTCTTGCCATACTTTGTATCCTTGTCCTGTCGGATTTCTCCGTGTTAAAACTGTATCTACTACACTGGAAGTGCCATTCTTCTCGCAATCGAGCCCCCTCACTTTGTCAACCTGCCAATGAAACCCTACTGCCTACTGAAAAAACTAACTCCAAAGAATCTTTGTCCCATATGTCGATCGGAGTCATGGTCAACTTCAATGGGAAACTGTCATACTTGCCTTACGTCACGCAGATGTCAACGCTCACTTCGTCTGAGGCACACAGAGGGGCAAATTCAACCGCATCGTTAACCGTTCAGAGATCTCTGATTAGCCTAGAATCGTGTATTGGGAAGAATGGAGTAGGGTTTGGAGACGAAGAAGACAGAACGGGCATACCTCCAGTTCCACCTCAACCCCTAGAGCGGAGCAAGCGAATTCGAGCGCCCCTTGTTCTCATCACTCTGCTTACCACCGTCGCGCTAATGGCTGGTACGGCTTACACATGCTTTTTGGCACAAAGGATTGAAACTACGGCTTGCGGGTTAACAAAACACGCCAAGAAGGTCGTGATCTCTGCAAAGTTGCTCACGAACTCCCTAATTAACGAAGCCTACACTATCATTATTCGGGTGATAGGGGAAGACGTCTCACCAAGCAATGCGAACAGCTACCTCCGACCGTTTGTTGAAGAAATGAAGCACATATTCGGTAATCAGGCGATGCGTTTGTATGCAATGGCTAACGATCACACTCCCTCCAACGACTGGTTATGCCAGCAAACTGCCTCCAATCTGCAATATTTCGGCACCTTCCTCCACCGCCTTTCCTCTTTATTTGCTGTCGCTCCCGTACTCAGCAGTGACAACATTAAAGCTGCAAGGGATATTTCCTACTCCTATATTCACGAACTGGCACGCCTGGCTCCACATCCACTTTTCACGACTGTCTCAAATAAGACACTTATGTGGCGAACTATTCAAATTCTAAATTACACCGCAGAAGAGCTCTGCAGACAGCACACCTCATATTTTCCGACATGTGCTGATGTTGAATCTCACTTTGAAATGCTTGTCAGCAAGGTTGACCCGTGGCCAAAATTTGAAAAGGGCCGTGACATTACCAGCGTTACCTCTTATATGCAGGTTCCCCGACTATTGAACTCAAAGGCTTATGTTAAAAAATGGCTGCCTTTAGCTCAGGATCCAACCGGGAATATTCCCTTTCTTTTTGATGAATTTCTTCTTCGCGAGATTAGAAGAGCGAAGAAAACAATAAACGAGAATCTTGAAAAGCTGCCTCGAAAATTGGCAAAAAAAATGGCAAACAAGCATTTGCAAGTGGCTCGCAAAGTCCCCGCTGTTTTGACGGGAATCTTAACCTTATTTTTGGCTATTTTCTTGGTTGTTGTGTACGACAACTGTAGATGTAGCTATCGTTTGCAGCATCAGCGTGAAGTTATGGCGTGTGCGCGAATTAAACGGTGCCCTTTGTTTTGTCTCAGGGTGGTGACATTTTTCGCGGCATTACTCTGCGCCACAGGAGTGGCATTGGGCGTCCTGGGAGGTTTCGGCCAGGATCAGATTTGCAACATTCTCTTCGTAAGGTCGCATCAAGGGGATCCTTGGCTTCATTATTTGTTAGATAGAATTTTAAGGCGGTCGCCAGCCTTGACTGAGATACTTCGCATCGAAAATCTTCAATTACAGCTGCCGAAGAACGTACTTAGCACCTTGGATACCAATTACACTCCAAATACTCCACCGTTCCTTCTGTCTATCGGTATGAACCGCCCAGCCAACCTTACTGCCCTATTGTACTCTGCGTGGTTAAATAGGACGCTATACGGGCTGTGGTATAGAGATGTCTGGCGCACGATGGAGCGAGCAAATATCTCATGTAGAATTCCACGAGTACCCCTTTCTAACGTCTTCGATCAATTTAGAAGAGCAGTGATGCTAGATCAGACGTTTGATGATCTCTATGTCGGCAACACCACTGATTACCTGCCTGAACCAATTAACGATTATTATACGAGAATAGGTCTTGCTTTGAAAGTAATATCCAAACGGGGTTTCACTGACGCCGAAAAATATGCTACATATTTCACTGCAATTGGCAATCTAATCGCCCACTATCAGCTAAAATTCGATCAAGTGGCCCAAGCGCTGAATGTCATTAAGGAAAACAAGAGGATCATTGAACCTCTACTACCCCTCATTAAAGTTGGTGATGTTATTGTTAGCTACCTATCCAATAAGTCAAACTCTGACTTGGTTTCCCAATTCACCAATAACACCGCAGAGATTTGGCTGAACTCTCGTCTTCCGATCGATCACTACGTTCTTCCGATTGTGTACAAGTTACTTGACAGACTTTTCCCATATCCTACTCTTCGACAGACCTACAGACAGGCATTATCCCCTATTTGTCCCACTGATACCGAGAATCCACCGCTTTTCTTAGCCTTGAGAAACTTTGGTTTTGCTCTTAGTCTTTCCTCCCTCGCCTTATTAGTAGTTTGCGTTGTCCGCATTTTCATTCAGCGGTAATAGCACTTCCTTCCTTTCATTTAACCTAAACAATAGAGAGCTTTTTATGTTTTTGTTTTGGTAATTATTTGTGACTATTCTGCTTATCCAATGACTACAAGCTACATCAGTACCTTAATTACGTTACCCAAAAGCAATTGTGGTTGTTTTAAAACACAAACTATTTTGATCTACCAGCAAGAATGTCTCGAACTTTTTGCGTCTTTAGAAAACGCCAATTCATGCACCCAACTAGCGTCCACCAGACATAGGAGCTGTCTTTCAGATGCTCTCTGCTCTCCGCATCATTTGCGTGCTTTCCCACGCGTGTCAGTGGAGAGACGAGCTTGGGCAGAGGGCGTTTCGCAACGCACGCGCGCACTTAACCTCGAGGTGGCATTGATTTGGCTAAGATACAACGTTATCCACACGGGCACGGGAAGCATGAATGTGACTTGGCTTCTAAAGCAGGTGGGTAGGTAAAACTTCCCTTGATCGGCAGCCGCTGCACACAGGACGTGGTATTATAGGTCTGGGGCCTCCTCTCTGAACACTGTAAGCGATTTATTCACCGTATTGTGGAGATTAAGGTGACAGTGAAACAAAAAGGCACTGATGTTGCTGCCTGTAGTATCTGAAAAACTCATCGAGAGAGAAGCTAAACGACCCGATGGTGCAAGATATGCCTGAGTGCCACAATTGGAGGACAAAGATGTGTGAGTATCACTGGCTCTTGAGCGGTAGCACTTGTGCACCGCACTCACTCGTGTGCAGTCAACACGACGTAACTCTAGCAGCCGTTTAGTAGTTAAGACTTTTAAAAAACGGATTTATTTTGTTTTCTTTTCCACAACAAAGTAACAGAAATTCATCCCTTCAAAAAATATCGATGTCCTTCGTTAGTAGCCCTGATGGTGTGCAAAATATTTTGAATTATATGAATTTTCAGGCCGCTTCAGCATTAAAGCTGCATACAAGGCTGCAAACATTACGCTCAATCCAGTGATACAAGGGAAGATCAATTTATTGCCATATAAGTTTGTAATACACAAAATGCAGGAAGATTAGTATGAGTTTTAAAAAGCAATCTCTCCAATTTCATGCACTTTCAATTCTAGCAAAACGATAACTGTGAGAACTTTTGAATGTAAGCATTCAAACGCAGATTGCTGAAAGTTATCGTGCTGAAGGTATTTGTTGTTTCACAAATTCTCCATTGATAGACCTGCCATCTTAAAACCATCAGCTTGTTCTAAAGTTCATTTACTAACTCATGATGGTTTCAAATATAACGAATGCAGCCTGAAGGACTCAGGAATAAAGAAACCGAAGTGTCGGCTCAGCCGGCAGTTTCAAAGTGCTTTGGCATTAACCTAACATCGGATGGCCAAGATTTCGCATCTGCTCCCCATGTCCTTTACTAGGCCAAACAACAAGACAGTTGTTGCTACAAAATCGAGACCGATTCAACTGTTAACAGATGAGTTAAGCCCCAATGTGATTGGCAACTTATAATTCGACGAAATGTTT